TTTTCTTAATGTACAATTACTCTTTGATGTAAAGTTCTCTCTTACACACATATGAGTGTTTGTGAATTTGTTTCTCTAGTCTACCAGGACTGACACAATCCCTTTTACATCCTTATTTCTTCAGTTTTTTTCAAGAGCAAGTTTCATCCACGTTGACCTTTTCTTGCTTTCTGTTGGTAAGTTAGAATTATGAAATGACCTCCTTATCTCCTGTGGAAGAGGAGTGACTTATTTCACAGCATTGAGTCATGCAGTTAACTAACGGGTGGAAATGGTTCGTGCATTTTCATAAGCCTCTGATTGATTGCTAAGAAAGGGTTTGCCTTCTGGTGGGTGATAGCTACAAGAGTAAATCTTAAAGTATCATGTAATAGGGTTTCTCTGCCCAGATTTCATTGCTATACATTTTTTATTGTTGTTTTGCTTTCTACTGGTGTGAATGCTGCTTTTAAGTTTTGGGCCGTCTAATGATTCCTGTATGAAAGTCCATGTGAGAGCTAGCTTGATCCTTGTTTTGCTAGTCTTGTGAAGCTTGACGGCAGAGCTCCTTTCATGGAAACCAGTCTTATTTACAGTGCATCCCTGCAGTGGTTTTTCTTCCTGACAGACTTTATTGTTAATATTTTTGTGTTGGTCAGTTGGTGGTTAAAACGTCAAACACCCCATGCCACTTACTCACAGTCCTGGCATGATGTCCTTTTGTTACATTGAAATGGTGAAAGTCTGCTCTAGAATCTTAGAGATGTGGCGGTAGCTAACTCCACAGATGTAGGGATAGGTATGTAGGTGTATGCTGGTGTGTTCTGCAATATGTGTAGCATCATGGTGGAAATTGCAGTGGGTTTTCAAAATACTTTTGAGAGATTCCTCAGCCACCAGCGTCAAGTTCACAAGTAAGTGTTCAAGAAGAAATGATGCAGGAACAGGACATGAGGCAGTCCCTCTTTTCTCTGAAACGAGCCTTCAGTGCCGTTTTCCCGAGGGGCAGCCGAGCCTCGGGGAGGACAGGACAGCGTGAGACCCAGGAAGCTGCGCGGATGCTGGATGGGGCTACTCGTGGGAGCTCAGTGGCATCAGGTGTTCTGTGTGAAAAATGCCCTGCTCGGACCAGAAAGCTGTGTTGGGCCAACAGAACTGATTTAGTGTTGTCTTCTTTTGATCTTTGACACTTTATCTTCATTCATGGGGAGTCGTAAACTTCACAGAGTGGCTCCTTCTACCTGGGATATGGAAGGATGTCCAGTTTTAAAACCAGAGAAAAGGCCCCTCCGAGGCAGTTTTTAGAGCTAGAAAAGCATGCCTGATGACACCTGCGTTCTGATGGCCCCAGAGCGAGGTGAGTGGCCTCAGCGTCACCCATTTGATTGAGCTGCAGTTCTATCTGATTTGATAGTGGAGTTCCTTTGGGCTTTAATTACTTCCCATATGGGCTCTTGTTACACTTTATTAAAATGCAAATGATAACAAAAGTATTTAGCATTTCTCTTCAGATACAATGAAAACT